CCTAACCAGGATAGTGATGACGACCCAACGAAACAGCCAACAGGTTTTCCTAAAGGCTCTGCAGGCTCCACCAAACCCCACAGACAAAAACTGAGATAGTCTTTGGGAAAATCAACAGGTTATGTTTCTGTACAGGAACGTTTTCAGTTTTTAATGTATCAACCATGTACTAGGCATCACCTTAGGGAACAATCTAGTGAGTTTTGTGCAAGTCTCTTGTCGTTTTCCTACCTAACAAGCATTACCCATCACTTTCCGTCAGTTTCACATCTCAGTGGATTGTTCCCCGATACCAGAATTACATTCAGTGACGGTGGCAACAGGCAGCCTGATTTTGAGAGAACGTCTTCAGGATTTCCCCACAAAGTATAAAGTGTTCCATGCATTTTTAAAAGTTGCCTATTATATATATTTTTAATCCTTTTAACAGTTTAAAAAAATATTGGGATGAAGTGTTGAAATATTTTTGTCACTTATGGATAGAATAATGAATTATTCAATTTCAGTTACTGATGGGATTAGATCTATTCCCAGCACTGGAATTCGTGGGTCAATGGGCCCCGCAGGAAAATCTACAAACTGCATGCTGTGGATAAACCTGGAGGACCCCACACTCAGTGAAACAAGCCAGCCAGGAAAAGACAAAGGCTGCGTGATTCTACTCATGAAGTTCCTAGAGCAGTCACTCGTAGAAACAGGCAGAAGGAGTTGCTGGAGGCTGCTGGGGTTGGGGGTGGGGGGGATGGAGAGTTATCATTTAACAGCTACAGAGTTTCAGTTTGGCAAAATGAAAAATTTGTAAACGTCAGCTGTACGACAATGTGAATATACTTAACATCAGTGAACTAAAAAATAGTTAAAAAGGTTAATTTCACCTTATATGTACTTTAACCACAGTTTTTTTTTTTTAAGAGACAAGGTCTCGATCTGCTTCCCAGGCTGAAGCACAGTAGTGCAAGCACAGCTCACTATCACCTGAAACTCCTGGGCTCAGGTGATCCTCCTGCCTCGGCCTCCTCCATGTTCTTATGAAGGGCCTGTAAAGGGTAAAGCAGCTAGAACTATAGGCTCATGCCACCAAACTGGGCTAATTTTTAGATTTTTCTGTGGAGATAGGGTCTCACTGTTAGTCTGCATGGCCTCAAATTCCTGGGCTCAAGCAATCCTCTCACCTGAGTTTCCCGAAGTACTGGGATTGTAGGCATGAGCCACTGTGCCCAGCTATACCACAATTTTTTTTTTTTTAAGTCTATGTATTGGGTGGCACCTGTGGCTCAAGGAGTAAGGCACTAGCCCCATATGCCGGAGTTGGTGGGTTCAAACCCAGCCCCAGCCAAAAACTGCAAAAATTAATAAATAAGTAAAGTCTATGTATTCTTTCCTGTAGAAATACGTTTATTCCGATTGATTTAGAAAAAAAAAAAAAAAAGTCTATGTATGAGCTCACCTGAGAGTGCAATGCCAGAACATAACCCAATCAGGGCCTGACTCACACAAGAAAGCTTCAGTGAAGGCTAAAGGAACACAGGTAATGCGGTTATCCCATGGACTTTACTTCATCTGCACACATCCACACCCAGCTACAGTACCAGCCACAAGGAACCTCAATTCACCTGTTTACACATGCGTCCCTCTCCAAGACAGAACCTTTCAAAGCAAAGGACAAGATGTTACACATCCATGTGCCTGTTGTGTTTTCTATGCGGTCAGGTGGCTGAGTTATTTCTGGTACTTCTCTGCTATATACTACACTTTGCATGTGAGCTGACTAGTTCATGAGCTACAGTAAAGAGGTCAGGTTCAAGGGTGAACATAGGACCATGACAGAAGAAAGAAGAAATATAAAATTCTCTGAAGACGAGGTTTCACTTGTCCTTTACACCTCAAGATGGTGAGAAAAGTATTAGTATAAAAAAAGGTCTGCCCAAATCTTCTCTTCTTGCATCTCCAGGATAGGAGGGGATAATAAATGCTTCCTCCCACAGACCCAAAGCCACCATCTGTTATTTTTCTCACTGTGAATCCTCATAGGAGTTTGAGGGCTTCATAGCTCAGAAAATATTGTCACATGTATTACCTCACTTGGTCTTCACAACAGACCTCCTAGGGGATGGGGCAGAGCCAGTCCGAATCCCAGAGCTGAACTTAGATATGAACTCCAGCACTTAATTACCCCTGAGGGGGAGTTACTCAATCTCAATTAGCCTCATTTTTCTACTTTGAAATTGGGTTAATGGTATTTACCTCACAGAATGATTGTGAAGATTGGGTAAGATATAAAAATACCATAGTCTTGGCAAATAATATGTGCTCAATAAATAACTACGGGGCGGCACTTGTGGCTCAGTGAGTAGGGCGCCGGCCCCATACACCAAGGGTGATGGGTTCAAACCCAGCTCTGGCCTAACTGCAACAAAAAAATAGCTGGGTGTTGTGGCAGGCACCTGTAGTCCCAGCTACTCGGGAGGCTGAGGCAAGAGAATCACCTAAGCCCAAGGAGTTGGAGATTGCCTTGAGCTATGACTTCACAGCACTCTACTGAGGGTTAATAAGTGAAACTCTGTCTCAAAAAAATAAATAAATAAAATAAATTAAAAAAAAAAAAACTACGACTTTCCTTCCTTTTGACACTAAAGCCTTTCCCTGGGGCATTGCCTCTATTAAAACATTTAAGAGGTCTTGTTGCTTGTGGGCTGCTCAGGGCACACAGGGAGTCCCTGCCCAGGCAGGGACAGATCGGTGGCTGTCTTAGGACTCACTGGTGGGCAGCAGCATGGTAGCCTGGGGAACATGGTCATCTCCCATCCACTAGGGACTTTTACTTTTGCTTTCTTAATTACCTAGACTTGGGTCTGACGTCTATCCTTTATGACTTTGATGACTTTTTCAACTTTTTATGACTTTATGACAGCTTCTCCCCAAAGATCATGGGACAAAGGCAAACCAGCCCCGAGAAGAGCGGACCCTCCAGGCTTTACCCTGATACTTTCCCCACTCTCTCCTCTTGCGTCAACCTGCAGGTGTCTAACCAGGCCTCGACAGGAAGGCTCTGAGCATTGGTTGGCCACATCCAGGGAAAAGCACAGTTTTAAATGTGGTTCTGGAACCCAAGTGCCCAGGTTCAAATCACATTCCATCTCCACCACGGATGCGACCTTGGCAAACGGGTGAACTTTCTTGTTTTAGTTGTATCCTTTGTAAAATAAGGATAAGATGAGGCATGTAGTCAGTACTGAAAAAAAATGGCTTTTTAAATCGATGTTAAAAAAACCCTAAAATCTTTCTATATATTATGTATACATATAAATAAACGCACTGTGAAAAAATTCTGAAAGAATTATAAAATGGTATATATTGGCTCTCTTTGAAAAGCATAGAAGAGCTTTTATTTGATATATGGGGACTGTCCAGAAAGTACCCTGTCATGTACTATGAAAAACAGACATACATGGCTGGAAACTTTCTAGATAGTCCTTATATATACTGGTACCATTTTATAAGCACGTATTATTTTTGTCATCTAAGTACACTTGGTTTTTTTGAGACAGAGTCTCACTTTTTCACCCTTGGTAGAGTGCCATGACGTCACAGCTCACAGCAACCTCAAACTCTTGGGCTTGAGCAATTCTCTTGCCTTGGCCTCTCAAGTAGCTGGGACTACAGATGCCCGGCTATTTTTTTTTGTCATCGTCATTGTGGTTTAGCAGGCCCAGGCTGGGTTCAAACCCACCAGCCCCAATAAGCACATTTTTTAAAAAACACACTTGTGTATGATGAAGAAAAGGAAAGGGGTGTGGTGGGGGGCAGGGACAAGGGGAAAAAGAGAAGAAAAATGGCTTAAAGCAGAAATCAAGGGTTTGATCACAAGAGCTGACTGGCTGAGACAACCTGGTTATGGCATTAGTGCTACTTGCAGAGTTCCCAGTGCCCCTCACTGGGAAACCTTCTGCCATATACATCTGTCAGGTCTGCACAGATTTCCTTCTATTCTGGGGGGGAAAAAAGATAAAATGATTTGCAAACTCTTCGGGGAGCCCAGTCCCATCGAACCAAGTGATCCTGGGTTGGAGGAATAGATGAGGAACTTCAGGTCTCACTTGCAGTCGGGCTGTCCAGGCTCCTGGGGCACTTTAGGGAGTGAGAGGCAGCTCCTCCCCATCTCAGGGGAACAAAGGGACACTGTCCAGGGTAAGCCCTGGGAAGCATCTGCACCAGGTTGGAAATGCTTCCAAGAGACCTGGACATATTCCCCACAAAGGCTGCACCAAAGGCTCTGGCTCTTATTGAAGGATCTTCTAAATGCCCTCGGTTTCTCTGTTTCTCTGCTGTCTCAAGAGATACAGGCTGAAGCAAACCAAGCTGTGTTTTCCTACCTTCTATGCAGGACCCCACAGGGCTATTCACCTTTTATTCCTAAAAGCTCAGTACTAAGTACAGTTAAAAAAGAAAATCATATCCTTTTATGGCAAAAATTACATCACCACAGCCTCGAGAGTAATGTTGTCTACTCCTTATAGATAGCCAAGATCCCACTGAGCCAACCCACATTTCTAACTTTTTCCAAGGGTGAAAACCCCCTTGTTCCTAGTTCCCCTCACATTATTTCTGATGGGTAAAAAGCTTATCAGCTCATAAAAGGCATGTCCCAAGAAGCTTGTATTTCTGGAAAACTACCTAATATACAGAGCGGGGTCCACGAACATTTATTTTCAAATTCCAAATGCTACACTGCCATTCTACATAGCCAGGTGTCTCATAGCGCCCCCACCCAAACAAACGCAGTTTGTCTTGCCGACAACTATGAATATAACAGTATTATCTCTATTTTATCAATGCCTCTGCTAACAAAATTCCTGCCAGTCAACTGTGTCCTTGTGACACGTTCTCACCATCCTCCTCCTTGCAAACTCTCCTCCAATCCCAACCGAACCCACCCAAAGGAGCTAGATGGGTTTGCTATGAAGAAAGATGCCACAAAGACCCTCGGGAGGGTGACTCACCTTTCTCATGGCAGCTTGACGGTGGGGGTGGGGAGGTGACTGGCTTGGACTTATCATAGTTGTTAAAGCTCTGGCTCCGTCGGTTGTTGGCAGCAGCTGACCCTGCTCGTGTTTTGGCCTCACTCCCCGCAGCAGACACTCTTGCTGTAGGACCTGGGAGTCTAAAATGCAAAAGCAACAGGGTAGCGCATTCAGTCTCAGAAGAAGAACAGTGTTTCAGGAGAAGGAACTGCAACCACTCAAGAGGTCAAAGGAACCGTCCAAACGTAGGGTCTGTGGAGGGTTGCCAGTGGCATGATTTGCTGGAACCCAATATAAACATCTAGGCTGGTAATGACCCAGCAAAGTCCAACAGCAAAATATGCACAGTTTTCCTTTGATTTGCAAAGAGAGAAATTTTTAAAAAAATATGAATATGTTTGCTGATTAAAAATCCAAAGCTCATCTTTTTTCTCCCCCCCGAACATTTTTCCATTCCATGAGGGCAAATCATGTTATCTCCAATTTTACCAAGCGTGGACCATAAAGGTTTGATAAGACCCGACATAGTTGACCTTGTGTGTGCAACTCCTCTGATAGGTATTAAAAATAGCTTTCCATAATCAAGGGCTATAAATATCAAGAAAAGGAAATAATGGTGAGAGAGGGAATTGCTACCACTTAGAACCAACATATCTGCCCTGAAAACTTAAGGCCTGGATGGAAACAATGGTCCAGACATACATTTTCCTTCAACACCTGACAACCTGTCTCCACAGGTATTACTTTGAGACTAAAGCTCAGCTTCTCTGCACAGTAGATGGATAAAATCAAACATTCTTTCTGTCAAACGGACAGGAATTTGTTAGTCTAAAGACAAACACACATTCCTCTTTAAATAAGACACCTCATTTGCGTGGCTTGGGAAATTAAGTCACCAGACTGCTTTGTAATATGGCTAAAATGTATTACGGCCCATTTTCCAATGAGTTAAGGGTAAGACTCCCCAAATCAGAATTTTGGTCCAGGGATTTACTAACCAGGCAGTTTCTAATAATTAAAGTTGAAAGATGAATAAATGATGAAATATTTAGTTATATCTTTTGGCTAAAACTCACTTAGCTGGGCTTAAAAGCCACTGGAATCTCACTCAACTAGCATTAGATCTAGTGATAAGTCTGAATTTTCAACTCATAAAACTTTCAGCCTTCTCTTTCCATGCAAATCTGTAAGCACCAAAGAAGTCTGAAGTCTGGAAGCAGTTTAGATACAAGCAGGCAATCACTTTAAACTTTTTCTTGTTGGCTGAGCAAGAAAGATGGTTGTAGAATAAACAGAGAACATGAGCTGGTGTGAGAGGACTGTAAAATTTATACAGTTTGGGAGAACCTGGCCTAATTCCCTGGCAGATCTGGGAGAGAAGGAAGGGGGTGAGCTCTTCCCCAGTAAGTTGCGGTGAGAACTTTAGGGCATCACCCCCCAATGCACTAGGAGGACTCGCCCCTGTGTTAATTTACCCCATCTAGTTTGGAGGATATTAACCCCACAAAGATAGGCCCAGAATAGGTACAGAACAAGAAGTGTCAAAGCCTGTGTCTGGGGACCAGATGTGGCTAGCACATCTATCTAGCCAAGGAGATCCAGCAATGAGTTCTTGGTACCTCTTGATTCTGCTTCCAGTGCAAACAGTCCCCTGAAAGTCCTCTAAATCAGTGTTATCTGAGTATTCACATCCAGTGGCAGACTTCTGCAGGTGGGTGTCCCTTGGGGCTGGACTCACTAAACCCAGCTGTAGTCTACAGGAATTTTTATGCCCACAGATAGGCCTGGAAAAGGATTACGGACTTGTTCCAAGATGATGTCATACCAATAGCATTAATTGGTACAAGGGAATGCAGGTCACAGCATTCTACTTCAGTGGGGAATTTGCGAAGAGCAAGGAAGCAAAAGCAAGGAGAAGGGAAGAGATCTTTCCTTTCAGAGTTGCTGGAGAGCGCCCTTCCCACTGGCCCTGGGTTGAATCATGACAGATTTTTAGGACAGCACAGGACGTCAAAGAGGTACACAATCAAAGCACAGGATGGGACAAATACAACCTTGAATCAGGTAGGCAGTCTGGTTGTCTGTGAGGCAGCGGGGTGTAGTTGATAGAATACAGGCTTTTCCAAACACAAGACGTTGAACCTGTCTCCTGGCTGCTCTGAGATTCATGTTTTCTTACCTGTAATAATCTTATAATAACAACAAACTACCCAATGAGAGAGCTGTACATTCGAAATGGGACTTAATACATGGCCAATGCATGTTAGTTTCTTTTCTCATTCTCTCTGCGGAACCCAGATTCATAAAGGAATTAGACATTGTTATAAAGGAAACAGGCTAAGGCACAAGAAAAATCAGATAAGGTAGAAAATACATGGGTCTAAGTTAAAGCATCAGAAGAAAGCTGAACAAAAGTTAAGGAACAAGAGTCTGAGATAAACATTTTCAAAGAGGCAAGGCAGGACTTGGCAAGCAAGGCTTATCATCTCCCTAAGGAAAATTCTGGAAGAGAAACTACTGCATCTAAATATCTGTGACTGAGACCTTATGCTTGGGATACCTCTGAGTTATCTGGGGGACCTACTCTCTGGAGTGACTGTATTCCTGGGTTTGGATTGACAAAGACAATTCTTAGTTTCCCGTGGGCAGTCACAGTCATATTCTCTCTGTTGAGTAAGGGATCTAGGTATTCCTTTGATGAGAGGGGCATGTCGTTCCAATGGTTACAGGGTGGTGCTAGCCCTCTGGACACAGAGGAGTCATCCTGAAGGCCTCCAGGGCAGGTGACATGGAGAAGGGAGAATGGTTGGCACACAGCCACCAGAAACCACCATGAGGCTCAAGCCAGCCCACGTCCACCCTCCACCACTACTGCCTCTACACCCTACTCAAGATAGCTCCCTGTCCCTTAAACTTGACCATCTCAAAACCTGGGTGGAGTCCAAGTCATTTCTTCCGCGTTTCAGAGAGAATCTACAATGATACTCAGGTTCTGTCGTGAAGGGCTTGAACGGACGCTGCTTCAAAGTAAGCCCCCTCCACGTATCTGAAATTTTCAGCCAAATCCATCTCACATGGAAGGCTACACTGAACTTGTGGTGGGTGGGAAGTAAGAAAAAAGGCTGAGTCTGGACTCACCTATAAGGGAACTAAAACATCCCATGGGGTGGTGAATCAATCCTTAAACTGAATGAATTCAGATAAGGAGTTCAAATTCAGGATTTCAAAGCCAAAGGTGACCACAAGAACTTAAGACACTTGAGTAACTCTGGGGAGGTCACTGGACTTTCCACAGGCTGAAGAATGGGCAGAGCAAAGACTCTCAATCTTATCTGGAGCTCAAGAGGCTGGTCGACCCAGCTGACATCTAGTTGGTGAGTGAATTGATTAAGCATGTGAAGTTCAAAAGTAATTCAGAAGTAATTCAGAGAAGTAAGTGATGATCCGGAAGGTAGGCAGGACGATCAAAGAAGATTCCAAATAAAGAAGACCCCAGAGCAGATTCAGTATGTTGAAGGTGAGTAGAGGGCAGAGCATGGAACACAGAGAGGAGGACTGTAAAATGTACAAAGGAAAGAGCTGGTGTGTGCTGGGAGGGAGTGAGGCTGGAGAAACAGCGCCAGGGTAGGGAAGACCTTGTATGCCACACTATGAAGCTTGGAGTTTCTCCTGCCCTCCAGAGATGAGGCATTAATTAAGGAGGCTAAGAGCAATGCCATTGTTGAAAAGCAGACTATCTGCTAGCTTACCAGTGAGTGACACAGACCCCAGGCCTCTGGCTAACATTTTGAAGTTCATTACTGTTAACATCCATGTGCATCATGGGCACTTCTGTCAGCCTCCAGCCTGGAAGCATCTGCTGTCTGCAGCATTAGAATCCCTGCATGCCAAGGAGCTGGGTCTTGCTCATGTGGAACAGCTGCAGGTATCACGGCAGACGCTGCCTGCTGGGCCAGCCTCACCGGAGCAACACAGCGTGGGGGCTGCGTTAGGTCAGCCCTCATCACTCACAGCACCAAAAGGTCCCAACAGCTCCTTTCCAAGAGGAACTCGACCTCTCACGATCATTCCATGTCCACGCACAGTTACGAAATGACAGAAAATACACACACAGGTTCTCTAAAACATACACGTTGATTTTTCTAAACCATTAAGCTTAAGGGAAATGGTGTGACAGAGTCAGGACCATCCTGCCGCTATTAGAGCCCTGGCCAATTTTTCCAACACATGCACAGCCCACTGGGCAGCGGAGTAAAACCATCCTTCCTGGCACGTAACCTACCAGTGCATCCTTCCTCCTCTGCTCCACGTGCTGTACGTGCTGATGGCAAGAGAGCAGTTCCTCCCCTCAAAACCACTTCAAAGGCTGGGAGCAGAGCGTGGCCCCTCCCAGGAAGGACAGCAGCTTGTGTGCACATGCTGAGGGGGGGGGATGCTCATAATCAGAGATGCTTTCTGCCAGACAAGATGATTAAATGCTAAATTTCTCGTTTCCTTGGCATCTGCTTTTCAGCAGCTGGGCAGAGAGGACCTAACGACTAGCCTTGCAGATTCCTTTCCCTAAGAAGATCCTGCGGAGATCCACTGGTCGCCTTACCTGTCCCCGTTCAACCTAAAACACCAGCATTACCACATCTACTGTTCCTGAACTACTGATTAGATGCCAGGTACTAAGGAATTGAAATGATTTAATTTAATCCTCTTGACACTGTGAGGCAGAAAGGACTACCCCCATTTGACCGAGAAAAATACACAGGCTAAGTGTTTAAATACTGAGCCCCGTAACACTGTCAGCAAGAAGGGAAGATGGGCTATCACTTGTGTTTGACTACACATCTTAGTCACTGTGTTTCTCTGCCTCCTGATGGAGGAATAAACCAAAATACTTGGGGCTCACCAGGGATGCCGGGGCAATAATACTGCTCAAAGGCAGAAATCCACTGGGGGCCTTCCTTCATCCCTGCACCAATGTCTTCCATAAGCCCTTCTCTGACATCCAGATTCTAGGGTGAGGCTTCCCACTCTGTTCCAGTGGGAAGATGCCTGGGGGCCATCGAGGTGTTGTGCTCTGGCAAGTGCTTAATCAGTGTTTGCACTCCAATGAGACACTGGTTTCCAGAACTACTCGGCCAGAAGGGGT